TCCACAAGATTTTTGACCTTTAATTATTAATTCAGCAGCGACCTGTTTTTAGGTTTGTTTTCCTTTGTAACAAATGCTGTTTGTGTCACCTGCTATGTGGCAATGAAAGATTGTGAGCTTCTGGGCATGATATTCACAGTGCATAAACTATGGAGCCACGGTGACTGAGAAGCAATGTTGTGGAGCACAAGCATCAGGCTGCAGGGACCCGACTCCTTGAAACGGAACAGCATTGTGTAGATCAGCCAAGGGGAAGTCATGGTGAAAACAAACCAAAGGAATATGTTTTGTGTTATTCCCCAAACAACACAGCCACGATGTCATTGTGTAAATCGAGTATGTGAGGGCATTTTAGAGGATAAGGTGCTACGTTTGAAGGGAAAGAAAATGAGGAAGGGTGTACATTACAGAGTGTGAGAGGAAAACACTGATAGATCGTTAACCACCTTATGAACAAACAGACCAGAATGGGGACTAGAGAAATTTGAGATGAGTGGACAAAGGATATCCAAGAAAAAAGGCTATGACAGTCGTGGCAGAGAGGATCTTACTGTGTCAGACTAAGAGTGAGAAAGAGGATTTTAAAACAAGAAGGAGAGAGAAAGAAGGACCCCTGGTGAGCAAAGGACACACACACAACAACAATCAAAGAATAAAGGGGGGGGGGAAACAATGGAAAAACTGAAAGATAAAGAGTGATAGGGAGAAAGCCAGGCGTAACCAATACAATGAACCACAGCAGGAGAAGGAGGATAAACAAGAGCGAGAAAAGGGTGCTTGTTGAGCAAAGGTGCACGAGAATGGGGGGGAGTGTAAATCTCACAACAGTGCAGGCTCACAGGCATCGCGGGAAGAGGAATGAGAACAGGAACAACAGGAGGTTATAATCACACATGCTATTTAATTCAGTTAAATAAGTATGCTGTGCTAGATATCCTGTAAACGTGGTCTCACATAATTCACAATCACGAACTAATATAGCAATGCATCTACTATTTTCTATGCTGTATAAAGGTTGAAATTGTCCAAGGCCAAACATCTGGAAGTTAATCTGGAAATCTCTTCCAAATCTGTATGTCTAAAAACCATGCTCTTTCTACTCTGCCAAGCACAGAGATAGGTGAGTGAAAAAGTAAATGTTGTTAGAAGGGATTAAAGATGGAGACAGAGAGAACCCCAATAGAGTATTCTACACCCAAGTTTCACTCTGATAAGACTATAAGTTGTCTTCTTTTAAAATAAAAAATAAGAATTTCCAAGTTGATTTACCCATTGTGGGAAAGTCTCAAAAGTTGAACATGTCCCTTTGTATTATGTCTGATTTAGAGATATGGTCACCTAACATACCAAGCAAGTCTGAGATATAGTCTATGCTTTCCAGCAGTAGGTCAATGTCACACTGAATCAGGAGGCTCAGCAGGCTGCCTTGGGTTCCTGAGCTGCCTTGCAGAGGTGGTTCAACTATTCACCCCAGGGACAAACATTAATCAGGAAAAAAAATCAAGGAACAAATTACAAGGTGACATGGGACAGAGTACAGGTTAAGTGTATGTCAGAAATATATATGGGGGAAATCAGAGCAAATAAGCAATTCAAATGATTCTAAAGAAGTGTCACATGCAGATTGGTAGTCCTGGCAAGGGATTCCAGTGAAGGAAAAGAGGTGGAAATAATTGAAGAGCTGGAACAAATCCCATCTTTCTAGTCCCCGTTGTTGTTATCCTAATTCTAGTCACCCATGTTATTTTCAATTATCACTTGGTGATTGCTTCTGTTTGCAGTACAATCTTCCTCTGCTTTGTCACTCATCTCTCTGGGATTCACCTTCTTATGGGTGACAAGGACATCCCATTCCATGTCTTATGAAAAATTTGATTTTTGGTTGATACTCTGACTGTGAAGTCGTTTCAAAGTATGCCTTTAAGGAAAACAAAACAGACCTATTCGCGTCTCATATGTCTTCCTTTCATACATTTAAAGTTCTAAATATGTTTTAATTTTCACCATACCATGAAGGTGTCTTGTGGCAGCTAACTTCAAAGATGTATTTGCTCCAGTGTCCCATTTTCTGAAACTGGGCTTTAACAATAAATTTGAATTAGACGTGGCATTATTTTAAGTTGGACACAGGTGGAAGCCCACGACAAGGGGAGTGTTGTCTTCCTAATCTGAAGTCAGTCTAGGAGCTAGGTAGTCCAAGAACAGCCCGGGCCTCTTCTCTGTGTGCACAGAAACAACTGAGCAAAAGCTTCACCTGATTGCAAGCATATCCTGTGGCTCCTGGTCTCATGGCCTGAGCTGCAGTGTGAGAAGAACTTCAAATGTATGCCGAGGCCCTAGTTATTGAGTCAGCTTTCATCATCTGCCTGTATGACCCACATGGTTAGACTAGACTGCCAGACATCTTCTAGACTGAACCTAGGGTTTCCATTACCATTTCTCATCTTTAGAAAGTCTTTGATGTACTCTAGTAACAAAGCTGAACTAGAGTAATTTAACAACTAAGAGAATTCTTGGAATAATTTTTCTGGCAAAGAACATAGCTCTGGTTGAGAGCCAACAGAGAACCCTAAATCTATTTAACGTTGTCACTAATTTGTGAGAGTTCCATTATATAACTCACAGTTGTTTCCATTTCTTAGGACTCACTTGTCCACAATTGTATTAAATCAGTTGCAGACTGGAAGCCCAGGAGCCTGAATACATCTGTGTTCCATTAAATACCGTAAAATGTGTAAGTGTGTGAGAGAGAGCATTCAAATATCAGAGTGTCCACAGAAACTGTTTAGGAAACAGTTATAACAGTTATTTTAAAACACTGTCATGACTAGTGAGAGAAGTTCCCAAATGTATGCTGACTTTCTTCATGGAAAATATTAGCATGGATGTCAGTGGCTGCTTTTTAAATTATTATTAGGTTTGTGTTTTCTAGCCCATCACATAGCCTGTTCAGGGTTTTCACTCATATACACTGTCTGTTTATCTCCAGTGTTTCTGAATTTGTGGGTACTGATATAATTCCTAGGATCTTTTTCAACATTAAAATTTTGTGATTCTAAGCCCAAGAAACAATATATATTTTTAATGAAGGCATTTATTAGATATACAAAAGCTTAGAGTACTGAACTACAGTAACAAACTTGGGTATTTTTGTGATTATCTGAAAAACGATTTTGTTCCTTTTCTGTGTGTTTTAAATGAAAGAATGCCTGCCTCAACTCTCCTTGACATTAATTCTATTATTCATGTTAATGTGACAGGTGTGTAAAACTGCTGCAGCAAAATCATTACAAGGGACTTCTTTATCACAGCTGAAGTTAAGAGGTCTGCTAATTGTTAATGCTAATAAAAGTAGCTGCTATTACTTGGCTTTTAAAATATAATTACATGACACAAATTCTATGCTCCATTTTCCTTACAAAGCCCATGTAATCACCATATAACAAAATTAGAGATGGATGTGGCTTCAATGAAAATGCAAGCTCACTCAGTTAGGAAGCCGGACATGTTCAAGGCTAAGAAAAATCATTGGGATGTTTTTCATGGATCCAATAAGAAATTAAGGAAAGTTATGTACAATTCCCTCTTGACTAAAGTCTAATGAAGAGAATCTGGTTTGTGATACCATGATGTGTGGGTATTTCAGAGTCCTCTTAAAACTCCAAGCTCCTTAATTTCCTATTCATGAAATTCAACTTTGACACCCACAACCTTGGGAATTTGAATCTGATATCCAAAAAGACTGGCCAAAAAGAGTCAAATTCGCTTCTCTTTTGATTTGCCTGAAAAAATCGCAACCTAATTGAGCTGAACGCTCCTTATCGGTTACCCCTGCACATGCACAGCTGAATCGTCTGAAGGAAACTAGACACAGTGCCCACAGGTCTCATTTCAATTAACCAAACCTCTGGTCTTCTTGTCAACAGTGCAGCGTTTCCCTGCTCTTTGTCTCCTCGCGAGCTGAGTGATACGCTGCAGCACTCCTCTGCCATCTCACTCCCTCTTATCTTTTCTGCTGAAAATTATATTCAATCAGAAGATACTTCCGCCTTGTCCCATCACGTTTTTCTGCACTTGCTACCCTCTGGCACCCTCGGGGTTGTGTTCCCCTTGGCTTAGGAAGACCCCTGCAAGCTGTTGTCTGAAGCAGTAGTTTATGCCCCTAGTCTCTCTGCTCACCATGTCAATGTGCTTCCCACTTGACTTTGCTTTCTCTCCTCCTCCACTAAGCAATTTCATTTCTGCACCCAAACACTGACAATAGGACACCAAATCTATTCTCAGGAACATGATTAGAGTGATACAAAAGAAAAGGCTGAGCCTTATCAAGTCTCTCTACAGATCGAGATTAGCAATCCCTCACAACAGGGCAGCAAAATCCCAAACCCCGCATGATCCTTCCAAATTCTGTTATAATCCCTGCCTCATCTCCTAAGCACTTGTCACATTTTACTCGTTCTTGACACCTTCAGGTGTGTTTCACTGCAGGATTTTCTTACTCTCCAATCCCTTTGCCTTGCACTTTTCTCCAGATACACAGGCAGCTGCTTTCTCCCCTGCATCACTTCTGAGCTCAGAGACACTTTCTCAGGGTCTTTCCCAGCCCACTCTAAGGTGATTGGGATCTCTTCCTGCAATTGTTTCACTTCTATCTCTGTTCTAGTTTTCTCTGCAGCAAATACCATTAGTTGATTATCTGGGCAGCATAAAACCCCTGTTATAGGCATCCTTTGGGATCCCAGGGCGGTTGGTTCCAGGATTTCCCTCAATACCAAAATCTGCAATGCTCAAGTCCCTTACACAAAGTCACAAGGTACTTGCACAGCACCTACACACGTTCTCCTACATATTTTAAATCATCTCTGCATTACTTACAATATCTAATGCAATGCCAATGCTAAGTGAATACTTGTTATGCTGCATGGTTTAGGGAATGACAAAAAACTATGAACTTTCAGACATTTAATTTTGTAAAATACTTTTTATTCATGTAGTAAATCCACAGGTATTGAGATCTGACTTTATCTACTATCTGTCTTCACCCATTGACATATACACCTGTGACAGCATGTAATTTTTTTTTCCTATTTATGTAATGATGTTTCACAGAAAATGAGAATAGTGACTTTCATTTAGTAAGTATTCAATGGACACTGGTTAAAGATTGGCTATTGAGTGATCATGTATTTTTGGTCAAAAACGGATTTGAAATGGTTTTAAAATCAATCCACATATGTAACTTCTCAACGGTTAAAAAAAGAAACTTTTTTGACAGGCAGAGTGGACAGTGAGAGAGAGAGAGACAGAGAGAAAGGTCTTCCTTTGCCATTGGTTCATCCTCCAATGGCCGCCGCGGCCGGCGTACCACGCTGATCCGATGGCAGGAGCCAGGTACTTCTCCTGGTCTCCCATGGGGTGCAGGGCCCAAGTACTTGGGCCACCCTCCACTGCACTCCCTGGCCACAGCAGAGAGCTGTCCTGGAAGAGGGGCAACCGGGAAAAAAGAAACTTTTAAAAAAGAGAGATACATCAGGTAACTAGGATGATTGGGTTATTTGATATGAACTCTAACATGTGTAAAATGATCTTTAAAATTCAAGTGATTTTAGCCTTAATACTTCACTATAGCAAAGCACAGGCCATCTATACAGATCTGGGGGGCCAGTGTGACCTACCGTACAACTCCGAGGTTAAAGTGCATTTCCAGTATTCACCCACTCCCTTGTCCTGAAAGGATATTTGTGTGCTGGCCAGTCCCCAAGCATCCCTTCCCCCGACCTACCCTCTGTGTTTTGGTCTTGTTTTTGTTTCTTGCCTGCTGATCCCAGTGAGAATTATCACATGATTCTCCTTTCCAGTTGGTATCTAGAATGGTTCTTGAAATGGGCCAACTGTGGGTCTGACTGCGGATCTAACTGTGGTTGTAGCCGAGTTGTAATTGGGGATCAAAAGAGAACTCGACTTCCTTCTTCCTGACACTGCCCTGCTTTGCAGCATTTCTGTCTGTGCTGATCCTAATGTCTACTAAATCTGTTGAGAAGATCCTGTTTAGAATCCCAGCCCCGACCCTGCCTCCATGCTTCCTCCCCATTGGCTTTTTAGCACCAAAGGTGATGGTGTCCTATTGTCTCATGCCCTCCACCCTGCCCACACTTCTAGAATGCCTTCATTCAAATGTCTCTTCTGAAAAACAAGCTGAATGTGCCTCCTGTTTCATTTCCTATCTTTTGTCTGTCTCTCTGTTTTACTTCTTATCTCCTACTAGAGCCAATATTTTCTCGTGGACGCAAAGTCAAACTCAATGTGAATTCTGCCAAGGAACATCATTCCACACACACATCATTTTTCTTTCCCTACAGTGAGGATATTTATTTACTTAAGCAAAACTTACCTTGAGTACTACTGCATGTCAAACCCATAAAGTGAATTCCTTGATACTAGCAGCTTAGTTTCTACCATGGACAGAAACGACTTGTAGATATTGTTCAGCATGGAAATGAAACCTCATTAATATTGTGCAGTGGTACAATCAGTGTGTTCAAAGAACATTAAAGTATTATATGAAGTCCACCACACATACCTACCCAGAAGAAACTCTTCGACTTGGAATCATACAAAGTCCGTGCCCTGACGGTACCATCGCCAGCTCCGACATGGTTCTGAGAAACATTAAAGACAGGAAAGGCTTGCACATGTCCTTAGAAGTGACAAGAACGAAGTTCAAGTTTCCCATTTTCCAAGAAAAGGAAAACAACAATTTTGGTCTTATTTTTCCCAACTGTGGGAGATCAACATGGAGGCATCTGTTTCAATTCTCTGATTATTTCTACAAAATTCACCAATGTGCATGAATTTGATAACAGTTATTAATACTTGCATTTTGTTATCTTTAAGAATTTTCATAAAACAAGGGATTGCATAGATGTGTTTGCTTAAACTTAATACATGCACAGAATTTCTAATGTCTTAGTGATTTTGTTCTGGGACACGGTCAACATTAAAAGGAACTCTGAGAGGGCACCTTCATCTCTGTCCATAGATAGGACAAGAAGGTACCACCAAGATTTCTGCATTGTAGGTCTGGCCTTCTTACCTTGATGTAGGCTTTTCTCTTTGTTTCTTTCTGCCACCCATACCCAGTGTCCTTTATTAATTCAATTTCCTTATGACATTTTACTTCATTTCTTACACAATCTTAGTTTATTTTAATTTCAATTCTATGTAGATTCAACTCAAATTTGCCACCCTGAGACATGTTGATGCATACCACTTATTTCCCTATATTGCTAAGGGGAATATACATTAGGGATCCCAGGGAATGTTCACAGGCAAATTCGGTTTGGGATTTTATTTTCTTTCTTAGATCTAACTCATTAATATGGCTGGCATTGGAAGTGCATTAAAATGTTTGTATCTGGCATATTCATTACTTTCTTAATGTTTTTCTTCTTTATACCTCCAATAATCTGTGTATTAATTCTGTCTACTGGAGAGCTGTTGTGTTATATTATCACTCAATTGGATTCCAGGAAGTTGTTCTCCGAGAACATTTCAATTCTATCATTGACCCAGGGTGGCCAGAGAGAGAGAGAGAGGAAGAGAAGAAGGAAGAGGAGGAAATGAAAGAGGAGGAGAAAGGGGAGAGGGATAAGAGGAGGACGAGGCAGAGGCAGGAGATAAAATAGTCCTCTCTTCTTGGAAATAGGAGATACATTATTACTCTACACTTTCATATCTAAAGCATGGAGTCTTGCAACCAATAATTTGCTCTTTTCTTTCATGAGTTTCAGTTGGAAAGGTATTCCTCGTTTCCAAATAATTCTGAATAGTGCAATGTTGTGAGATATTTTTCACATATGAAGGATAATACTTACCTACCTACAGAATTGTTATCAGAGCAGAAATTTAAAAGCACTTGAAAATGAGTGAGAAAGTACATGCTTCATAGCCATCACATGGTACTGGCGTTGATGATTATGCTTTGGGACTGGCCTATGTAGATTCTCTTTTTCTGTGCTTTGAATGTGTCCCCCAAAGTTCTTGTGTTGCAAACTTAATACTCATTGTAGCAGTAATCAGGAAGGGAAAATAATAAGTGATTAGATCATGAGAGCTCTCTGAATCAAAGTGGGAATGAGCTGGTAAAAAAAAGTAGCCCCCTTACTCCTGAAACTGGCTATATGAAATACATGAAATGTGTTCATCCTGTCTAAATAAAAAATGATTTTAAAAAGTGGTCTTAAAAAAAAAGTGGTCTTCTTTCTTTTTTTCAGATTTCTTTATTTATTTGAAAGGCAAAGTGAAAGAGAAAGGGAGAAACAGAGGGAGAGAGACCTGTCTGCTTGTTCACTCCCCAAATTTCTGTCATGCACAAGCTCTCTCCTCATGCTTTATGGTGCTATTTTATGATGTAGCAAAAAGGCCCTCACCAAATGCCCCTACTGAGTGTTGGACTTGCCCGTTTCCATGGCTGTATGAAATATGTGAAATTCTTTATGAATTATCCAGCTTGTGGTATCCTGCTGCAGCAGCACTAGATGAATAAGGCACAATGCTGATTTGAACAGATAGGACACATGGTTAATTTTTCTGTGCCATTTAATACCCTCCCCCCCAAAGAAATGATTTGTGAAAATTGATAAAACCTGGTCAATCATCATCTTTGCCTTTTCCGGGACTCAATATGCTTATAAATAGGTTATGTGCTGTGTGGCTTCTGAAATTGAAAGGAATTGGTCTGTTCAGGGTTGCCTGATCCTAAAATTATGGTTCTCAACACTGGTTGAACGTCATGTCACCTATGGAACCAATGATAAAAAAGGATATTTTAGTATGTCTGTTGTGGATGCTCATTGTTTGTATTTATAAGACTCGGTATACAAGATTCAGATTTGTTCAGTGGGGATTTGTGAGCTCTTTACAATGTGCCTGACACTGCCAGGTGATGAGGACAGTAACAGCCAATACCAAGTTCTGTCCCAGAGAAGACAGCATGTCCTGGGTTACAGCAGAGCAGAGCAGTGTTGCTCAAAGCATTTCCATTCCCAAGCCCTCTTCCATGACTTGCTATTTAATTAATGTCATTTTAAAGGGTATCATTTTAAACCTCATCTATATCTCAGGCTCCCAGGTTATATTTAGCTAATCCAGCTAAAGTGGCATATTTATTTAGTCTTATTATATTTGTTATGTGTAAGGCCATCACCAAACACCAGAGTTAAAGGAAAGGTTTATTGTCAGGTGGGGGAAGCCCAAAGGGCCGGGTAGGGGAGAGGGCAAGAGAATAAGAGAGAGTAAGATAGAGAGAGAGAGCAGATGTTGAGGAACAAGTTCTGGTAAACCTTTGCCAGGGGGCGGGCAGGGAAATAGGAGTAGTGAATCCCTTTAGGGTGGGGGTGGAGCTGACACTGGTGGTTGAGCCATGGGACTTAGGACTGAAGCCTGCTGTGCAAAGTGGCCATGGGGACCAGGGTCCAAGATGGTGTCCGAGGCATAGATGGTGCCACAGATAAGACAGCACTGTTTTACTAACATTCCACATTGGGGCTTTTTTTTTGGGGGGAAATTCCAATTTTCACCCTGAAGAATTTGAAGAGGTAGATATTTCAGACTACTGAACTAGTGAAAATTGTAAAATACAGTTGGGAAAAAAAAAAGAAAGAAAAAGAAAGGTCTTTATATCCTTGCGCATACTATTACTGTGAGAGTGATGACTTGGATTTTTTTTAACCTTTATTTAGCAAATAGAAATTTCCAAAGTACAGCTTATGGATTACAATGGCTTCCCCCCGCCCCATAAATTCCCTTCCACCTGCAACCTTCCCAATTCCCGCTCCCTCTCCCATTCCATTCACATCAAGATTCATTTTCAATTATCTTTATATACAGAGAATCAATTTAGCATATATTAGGTAAAGATTTCAAGAGTTTGCACCCACACAGAAAATACTGTTTGAGTACTAGTTATAGCATTAATTCACATTGAACAACACGTTAAAGACAGAGATCCTACATGAGGAGTAAGTATACAGTGACTCCTGTGGTTGACTTAACAAATTGACACTCTTGTTTATAGCGTCAGAAATCTCCCTGGGCTCTAGTCATGAGTTGCCATGGCTGTGGAAGCCTTTTGAGTTCGCGTGGACTTGGATCTTATTCAGACAGGGTCATAGTCAAAGTGGAGGGTTTAATAGTATTTGTTTTCCAACACTGAGGTCTTGATAGTGTCTGCACTTCAGAATGGAAGAGCCCAGGGGACAGTGTCTGCAGAGGAACACAGACATGCTGCCTCTGAAAGTGCCGTGTTAGATTAAGACTCCACCCGTGGTGGTGGCTCAATGCAATAGAGTTAGGTGTAGGTGAGGAGGGAGACACTCACGCTTAGTCACCTTGAGGAGACAGATCAGCCTGGGCTCCACGCAGTGAAAGACAAGTGCTATAGTCTCCCAACTTAGAGAAACAAAATAAAATTAAAAAAGCCAACAGCATTATCTTGTACTTTTCTTCTTTCTGTGAAGAAGACAAAACCCTTTTCCTGTGTTGTGGCTTCATTAACTCTTAGTGAGCCTTTAGTTTATGGCAGGGCGATGGAAAGGTAGAGGCATGGCTAGGTCTGGGTGTCAGTCCCGACTCCCCACTCACTCCACAACTCCCTGAAATATCCATGCCTTCAATTTTCAATCCCTAGAGAAAGAGTTTGTGCGATAATCTCCAGGTTGAACCTTCTGCTTCCATCTACTTTGTAGGTAACTGGGTCACAGTCCTAACCATCAGTTATTTACATACATACCTTCAAACCAATACTTACATAAATAAAAATTATCCAATTCTCTGGTCCAAGCCACAGGGAAAGCTGGGTAGTCTTTCCTATCCCTTACTCCCAGAAAGTCCCTACTGGATCTTTGCTGTGAGACTAGCAATGCTTACATTCAGAGGCTCAGGCTCCTCCTCTAGTTACCTGCAGGAATCTGATGCTAGAATCCTGGATTCCAGATATATTAATTGTATTGTTGCATTTAGTGGGTATTAAATAGTATATACTAATCAAATTGTGCCTCTCCACTTTATTACCCATAATTCCTCATTCTTCCATAATTTCCCATTTCAGTTTCCTTAAAAGAAAACCTTGAGTGTTTGAAATGATATGGCTATGGAAAAACAGTTCAGAAAGATAAATGACTAAATGTATCAATCAATTATTTCATGCTAGTTGACTGCCTTAGGCTTTTGAATACTATTTTTTAGCATTCATGTTAAATGATAACAGAATCAAATATTCTTTAAATGCAAAGGGTTTTACTACTTTTCAAATAATGTAGGTTTTTTCTCTACTCTTCAAAATCAACTTCTTTTAACTACCATTAGCAGAGAAGCAATAAACAGATCCTTACCACTGATGATGTCATAATGGATAATGGAAAAGCATTAATTTTCATAATATCATCATTAATTATAGCCAACATTGAAATGCAGTGGGGCTGACTTTGTCATATTTAATGAAGCAAATGCTTTGAAATATTAATTAACAAAATCAATCTCAATATACTGGGGACTGTAAAATATATTGTTTAAAAATTTAATCATACAAAATAAAGTAACTTTTGTGTTCAAGAAGATATCATTAATGTAATTTAATACTTCCATTTTATACGGTACTAGACTTTGGAAAATCAATAGAAAAAAAAAACACAAGAAAGCTATTTTTTTTTTGACAGGCAGAGTAAGACAGTGAGAGAGAGAGACAGAGATAAAGGTCTTCCTTCCGTTGGTTCACCCCCCCCCAGATGGCCACTACAGCCAGAACTACACTGATCCGATGCCAGGAGCCAGGTGCTTCCTCCTGATCTCCCATGTGGGTGCAGGGCCCAAGTACCTGGGCCATCCTCCACTGCCTTCCTGGGCCTCAGCAGAGAGCTGGACTGGAAGAGGAGCAACCAGGACAGAACTGGCGCCCCAACCAGGACTAGAACACAGAGTACTGGTGCCACAGGCGGAGGATTAGCCTAGTGAGCCGTGGCGCCGGCCGCTTTTGTTTTACTCAATATAAATTTTTATTCTAAAAATGATAATGTTATGGCCTATACCCTATGTTAGCATGTGGATGAAATTAGATCGTTAATGAGAAAGTATCTATAAGCAATAAAATACTTCACATCTGAGAGTAATTTCCTACTACTCAGATAGAAAAGATAGGTTTGGTTAGGGCAAAGGAGTGTCCTTCATTTTGTAATCCAAAATAATAATCTCAGTGACAAAAAAAATTACAAGTGGTCAGCATTCATTGTATAACTCTCTATGCCAGGCACTGTATTTAAAACTTCAGACTGATTATTGTACTCCCTATAAAAACACTTGAGGGAAATATTGTAAAGCTTACTTACCAATGTGATAACAAATTTGAACTAATAAAGCCAAGTTCCTTATTCATAAACTTTGGTTTAACTCCAAAGTCCATGCACTTAGACATGAGCAGATGTTGTCTTTGAGAGTAACAGGTACTTTTCCTTATTGAATTTGCATCATCATGGCCTCTGGTTGGCCAGGTGATATTCTGGAATTATCTCATTTAGATCAGCATCTGAGAAAGGAATTAGGAAGAAACTAAGACTAAAATGTGAAATTTAAAAAGGGGAAGATTGAATCTTTCCTGAAAATTTTAAATGAGAGTTGGTGAGAAGACTATAATTGTGTAGTCTCCAACTGATTATATATCAATTTTGGAATTATCATTATGTTTGTGTCTGTAATTCCAAGTCCATGTAAGCTTCTGCCTACAGGTTGGATAACATTACTTGTGGACCCACATAACAAACTTTAATCCTTATTGTTCTTAAGGGAGGCAGATTTGAAAAAGGCAAATAAAAATAAATTTTAGTAGAGCATGCTCCTGTGCTCCCCCCCAACTCTCTTCCAGAGCCAGTTAGAGAACAAGTTAATCGTTAATTCGTTCATTGTAATGGATTATGCTTGGTTCTGTAGTTCTTAAGAATCTTGGCCAGCGCCACAGCTCACTAGGCTAATCCTCCGCCTTGCGGTGCCAGCACACTGGGTTCTAGTCCCGGTTGGGGCGCAGGATTCTGTCCAGGTTGCCCCTCTCCCAGGCCAGCTCTCTGCTGTGGCCAGGGAGTGCAGTGGAGGATGGCCCAACTCCTTGGGCCCTGCACCCCATGGGAGACCAGGAGAAGCACCTGGCTCCTGCCATCGGATCAGCGCAGTGCGCTGGCCGTGGCAGCCATTGGAGGGTGAACCAACGGCAAAGGAAGACCTTTCTCTCTGTCTCTCTCTCTCTCTCTCTCACTGTCCACTCTGCATGTCAAAAAATAAAAAATAAAAAATAAAAAGAATCTTGGTCAGCATTCATTTTAGAAGTGACTAAGACAGTGCCCCACACTCAAGCACCCAGGGAGATGTTTAAAAAGAAGCAAATTACTTTACCTTCATAAACATCATTTTTCTCATGTTAAAATGTGGCTCATGATAAAATGTACCTCAGAGTTTCTTGTCAAGATTAAATGAGATGACTTATAGGGCCTGGTTTGTAGAATGTGCCTGGAAAGCAGAGTCTATTACTTCGTGCATGTTTATAACCAACACCAAGGAAAATAAATGAAAATATTCATTTTAATTAATTTATTAATTGACAAATTAGTTAATTGATAGGCTGGTGATATTCAGAAATGTCCAGGGACAAGAGCAGTTCCTCCCATAATTAGTAAAGAAGACACCGGAAACCCAGTTGGCAAGCATACGACAAAATATTCTAAGGCCAGTGACAGGTTGTAAAAGCATAGATTCAATCCTACCTAAATTTTAGTGTCTGCGATTCTGAGATAAAAATTAAACTTAACAACATTAGAGATTCTTTCAGAGATGTGATCTCATTTGTCTTTGAAATGATGAAACAATATAATATTGGTATAACTTGCACATCGGAATCATATTAACAAGAAATATATTTATAAACTATGGCATATGGATGTAGAAATTTATGTTTTCTTGTCCACTGCTTAAAGGATCATATTAAGAGCTATTCCTCAATTTCTCACATTGCTAAGATATTTGTGAAAGTAATATTCTCTCTTTAATTATTAATACTGCATTGATTTGTTTTCTCATAGTCCAAGTGACAAAAAATCCATTAAGAAATACAAGCAGTAAAATTACATATAAAACTTAAAGTTTAACTAGGAGAAAAAAATATTTTGCTAGATCTCATTTGTCTTTCAGATTTAATTTCCTTTACTTTAAGAAAGTCTATAAAGAATGGACTACCATTTTATTAAAACAATACAAATAGTGATGGTGTTAATAGCACCTTTTATCTAGGACTTGCAGTTCATTATACAAAGGACAACATATATTCATATATCCCATTGCAATCCATCCAACATCCCTCCCAAAGCAGATCTGGCTTACTTGTTTTATAGGTGGGAACAATGGCACTTAATGAACATGCATTTACTTTATTCCATTTTTTTTTTCTTAAAAAGTAACACAATAAAGGTTTCCTGAAGCCAATGTCTTTTTCTTGCTTCCACTGCCTAACGTTTCAGTGGTGGTCTTTTGCATATATGATTTCCCCCCAACACTCCCCCTGTGTCTCTTAAATACCTGTGGAGACAAGGTCAGAGGAAAGACTAAGGTCCCACACCCTGTGTGATATAAATAGGCTTCACCAGTACGGAGGTGGCAGGGATACAGTCACTGACCTGGGTGAGAACCATCTGAGAAGTCAAGGAGAGCTTCCATGCGCTGAAAACTGGGTTATGCTGTTCAAGTTTGCTAACCTATGGTGGGGACTGCTAACAGTCTAGCAGATTCCCTTCTCTCTTCTCTGCAGGGTAATGGTGAGGCCTGATGGACTTGATTCCACATAATGTCTTTGCAGCTTTGTGTAGCTGCGTGCCACAGATCTGCCTAATGGGGAGTGAAGTGAAATGACAGGTGCTATTTTTGGTGCTAAGGCTTTTAAGGGAAGGAGGGTGCCTCCCTCAAGCTGGGTCCAGTGAATGAGGCTTTAGGGGAGGGAAGAAATAAATTCTGGAAAGCCATTGAAATGTAAACACTTGATCTGGGCAGTGTAATAGAGGAAAGTAAAGTTTTATTTTGCTTTTATTTTATTTTGATAATTGATATTACTAATTCTTGTACTACAATAACAAATGCTGATCCAAAACTGAGTCCCTAGGAAAGATAATCAGTCTCTTTCCTTTTCTTCCACTACTTTTTCTGCTCCAATCCTTTTGTGACTATTGTGACTTCTTTTTCACTTCTGTGTTGTACCTTGTTATTGAGGTTTTCCTATTGCATCAATATTGTAGTCATAGAATATTGGATAGCAATATACGACTTCTCGTAAGATATGCTAGTTGTTTTATAATTAAAGTTTTTTTTTAAAGATTTTATTTATTTATTTGAGAGGTAGAGTTACAGACAGTGAGAAGGAGAGACAGAAAGGTCTTCCATCCACTGGTTCACTCCCCAAATGACCACAATAGCCAGAGCTGGGCTAGGCTGAAGCAAGAAGCCGGGAGCTCTATGTAGGTCTCCCACATGGGTGTAGGGGCCCAGCAAATTCGGTTGTCTTCCGCTGCTTCCCTGGGCACATCAGCAGGGAACTGGATTGGAAGTGAAGCAGCTGGGATACTAACAGCTGCCCATATGTGATGCTGCTGTCACGGGCAGTGGCTTCACCAGCTACACCACAACACCTGCACCTGTTTCTGATTTCTGATTGCTAGAACTGAAACACAACAAACTCATGCTTCTAGGCACCTTATTTTATAGCGATTTATTGTGACAACAATATGGAACTATATACTCACTCAGCTGCATTAGAATTTATGTGGACAAAATCGAAGATATCACCTCCACATCCTTCTTGGCACCTAGAGTTTTGCAAGAGCCATGCCAGACCCTCACATTGTGGCAGAAAGCTATAATACCCATGGCCTTCAGAAGTGGCCATAGACAGGTCAGATTCATTGAATTGCATGCAACCATACAAGAGTGTTTTTTTTTTTCAAATATGGTAGAAAAACTGAATTTCCATAGTTTTCCAGAGTACTATCTTTGGCATACAAATGGCCAACCCAAATTAAGCAGGGCCTTTAAAATGAATCTTGTCATATGCAATAAAAACTTACCCAAGGATTCTAGTTAAATATATTGATATATCCTAATGGACAGGTCTAGGACAAATTGGGGAAGACGTGTCAGTTGGGCAATAGCGTAAATTTGCTACTAGGCTCATCATGGCCGCTCTTATTTTATTTATTTTATTTTTTATTTTTATTTTTTGACAGGCATAGTGGACAGTGAGAGAGAGAGAGACAGAGAGAAAGGTCTTCCTTTGCCGTTGGTTCACCCTCCAATGGCCACCACCGCTGGCACGCTACGGCCAGCGCACCGTGCTGATCCGATGGCAGCAGCCAGGTGCTTCTCCTGGTCTCCCATGGGGTACAGGGCCCAAGCACTTGGGCCATCCTCCACTGCACTCCCTCGCCACAGCCGAGAGCTGGCCTGGAAGAGGGGCAACCGGGACAGAATCTGGCGCCCCAACCGGGACTAGAACCTGGTGTGCTGGCACCGCAAGGCAGAGGATTAGCCTAGTGAGCCGCGGCGCCGGCCATGGCCACTCTTATTAATACATTCACTGAGGTCATAAGTGGTGCCCAATAACAAAAGGAGCAGAATATTTATTAGGGCACTTGGGAACAAGATGGTGTTGGAATGAGACACAGATGTTTAGAATACTCATCATTTTTTTAGATACTATTAAAAGTGACAAGTTCCTACTCACTCAACTTTTTGGCTCTTGTGTTCTCTTCTCCCTGAAAATAATGTAGAAGTGGCTTACATTTTATTATTGTTATTAATATTACATGGAACAGTTATTGCAGTAGTAATAAACAGGGATATTTTGTGCTTATAATCCCTCTTTTTAGGGGAAAAATAAGCCTCTCTTGGAAGTCCAGAGGAAAGCATTTGCATGTTCACTTTATGAGTATAATTAGCACATTTGTCCATGCTGTCATTGATGATAATCAACATAATAATAACTCCTTATGTTTATGCAGCCACATGCAATTTACCGTCTTTTCTCATCCTTTATAGTGTTATATTCACCATGTCCCTGGATGTTGTTAACGGTTCTTAGGGGAGAGCAGAATGGGGAAGGATGTCCTCACATTTTTTAAGATGGGGTAATAGAGATCCAGAGATGATCCCAGCTCAGTTTGGGATCAGATCTAGTTTCTCAGACAGAAGTTCCCAAGTTAGGTAAATGTATGCCCAAGTCATGACTTTTAAAAAATATGCATTCTCCATGTTGCTCTACTTGCCCTTTAGTGCAACATCACATCCCTCTTTGTCACAGGTACATCGGTGGTGTGACTTGAAAGACAGTCTGTGGGGAGCAATCCGGACTGGACTAAGTTACTGAAATTAAGACTTATTCTATGCATCTGCTCTCCCACAACATGGCGTTGGGAGAGAAGTAAACAGCTTCCGCACAGCTGCCTCCAGTTCAACTAATAAACTGTAGGACTTGCTCCTGATTGGAGAGCAGCATACTCGGCGTGTGGGCAGCCGAGTTGGGATTGGCGGAGGAGGACTATAAAGGAGGAGAGAGACGGCATGCATCGGGAACATCTATGGGGAACATCTAAGGGAACCCGTGCAGCCCCCGAGAAAGCCGGCCGGCGGTGTGCCGCTCCCCTGCGGAAGTGGGGAATGCGGCCAGGGGGAACTGCCCTTCCACGGAGGTGGAAGGGATAGTAGCCAACCCGGGAAGAACCAGCAGCAAACCCGGGGAGGGCCGAGCAGACGAAAGAACAGCGCAGGGTCCTGTGTTGCTCCTCCACGAAGAGGGGGAGCGACAACAGTCCATATAGCAAACAATACACTTCCTCTTCTCATTTACTTAAACACAAGTGGTATAATTCTATTACATAACTCCCTCTCAGGTAAGTTATATGCACTGCAAAGGGGGTTCTCTGGAGGTTTGTTTAATTAATATTATAGCAAAATGTAAACAGTGGAGCTCCAGGTTCCCTGTCAGGTCTTTGAAGTCTCTACATCATAGACTCTATTATGTGGAATCTTTTGTAAGCACCATTAGTAAAAAGACACAGTTAACCAGAGGGTTTGGCTTTTTACTATCAAATTGAAACAAGACTTACCTGAAAAGTACTGATAAAAAATAAATTATGGTACTATTTATTTTCTGATTGTGAAGAATTAAAATCAATAATTTAAGCCCTAGAAGCTTAACTAAATATAACTCTTATAGAATAATTCAGTTGTTTCAAATAATATGATACGGCCTCTTGGTTCTGAATCCTGAGTTGTTCACATACTCTGTGTCTCTGTATAGGTTTAGAAATACTGAGAGTGGTTTTGTCACTTTGGGAATTAGCCAGTCAACAATAATCAAATGACTATCTCTCTCACGCAGGTAATCTTTCACCATTATTTGTCTCCACATAATATTTCACAACTCAGGGAAGAAGTCAATATTTATCCCACACCAGAGAGTTACTCTCAGGTTAATAAATGAGCATAGTTCCAGAAATAGCCATGATGGATTAAAAAAAATGTGCATTGAGTGAAGAGATGCATCTCGAAGCCAGTTATGCAGCAAGAACAAGGGTGAGCCAGCTCTGGAGAGAACTAGCAAGGGCATGGACCTGATGGGCACAGGTAGAAGAATCATTCCGCCCCTCAGCCCCACACACAATTCTGCCTTCATTGAAATCTGGGCCTGGACCTACCACGGCCTGCACCTACTTGTGTTTCCCATGCCTGGCCTCATTTTCCTCTGGGCAGACAATTGTGAATTTTTTTTTGGTCTTGTTTATTTTGACTTAAGCTCTTCTCAGGGTCTGACACCTTGTAGTTATTTAAGATGCATTAATTGAGTTTGAAGAGAACCAGGAGCAAGAGCAATGCCACCATGGAGCATTATAATTGTTTAATATAGGTGGTCATATATTGACAAAACTTCTATCTGCCTTATTATATTTTATTCACACAGCAAATTATATATGGCTTATTAATGATAGCTATTATTTCTTCAATTTAAATGCCAGATATTTTATAAAAGTTATTTGACCTAATACTTTCGTGTAATACATTCAAAAAGAGGCCCTGCTTTTCTTTCTCTTTCTCTCTCTTTCTCTTTCTTTCTCTCTTTCTCAGATGAAGCAATAGAGCATCCAAGAGGGTAAATAATTAAATCACAGTCCATGTGACTCCAGTGTCTGTGGGCAACATGAGTTGTTTAATGCTATTTCCCAAATGCAATGAATTTTGCGGTGCTCATGTACTTGATCTCACTCACAGAGAGAACACTGAGTAGCAGATAGAATAGGATGCCCAGAAAAGACAATTTTCTAGCTCCAGTACCTACTTGATTTTCCAAATCACAATTAGGACTACATAAGAAAAAAAGAAAGAGGAACCAGCAGTGTGAACGCAGCCAGGAATTCACCTTGCTGCTTATAAACCTTAATTAAACCTAATTTGTAAATCTTAATTGAACCACATGTAAAGGCATTAATGAATCAGTATAATAACATCGCTCTTCCAATAAGACAACACACTAATACTAAATACTTATATTCCTGGAAAATGTACTCATGTGGGCCTCGTGAATGTGTAATAGGGAAGTAGATAAACAATTAATCTCATTAATTGCAATCAGAAGACAAAAAAGTACAAGCCGGCTGCCTGGAGAAATCACCTTTGCCAGGTTTCCTCCCAAGCAGATCGGGTGCTAATGAAGTGACTGCATGGAGTAAGTGAACCCTGAAGACCTCGGGAGCTCAGTGGATGTTGAGAGGCAGGCACAGGCTGGGGGAAACCAGGCACGCTGTGTGAAAGTCAGTTCCTTCAGGATTACTAT